GGTCTTCACCCTACACACACTGACACACTTATTTAATTTTAGTTTTTGGTTGCTATGCCTTGACTCTGGTCTGGCATAGTACATAGCCACTGGTAACAACCAAGTATAACCAGTAAATAAATAAATAATAATAATAAAACATTAATATTTTCAGCTATATGAAACTCAACTTGTCCGACATGGAATCATGACATTAGGACCAAGTGGTACAGGAAAAACTATGTGTATACAAGTGTTAATGAGAGCTTTAACAAAACTTGGAAAATTACATAAGGAAATGAGAATGAATCCAAAAGCAATAACAGCTTCACAGATGTTTGGTCGACTTGATGTAGCCACTAATGATTGGACTGATGGAATATTTTCTACACTTTGGAGGAAGTCATTAAAACTTGCAAAGAAAGGTACATAAAAAAGATTAATAAATTATGAATTCTTATCTTATTGAATAATTTCATTGTCTTTAAAATATAAATATCAAAATTCTAGCATTTTACTTTTCACTAATGAATTGGTAGAGAAAGATTTTAATAATTTAATTTAATTAAAATGCATTTTGACCTGTAAGTACTTTGTAGTTTTTAAAGTTAAAAAAGGATTTCATTATCAATTGAAAGAAATTTTAACATTAAAAATTATTTAAATTCAAAGCTACATCAATTATTTTTAGATAATGTACTTTTAAAAATATGTACTACAGCACAACAAAATTTATTCTTTTTTTATAGTTCATTAGTACTTAAATACATAATGTAATAAATTGTTAATAAACTAACAACACTTATGAATAACAATCAAAATAATATTAGAGTTATCACATTTGAAATATTTCAATTTATTAAATAATTTTTCTAATTTAATATATATTTAAAGGTGAACACATTTGGCTTATTCTTGATGGTCCTGTAGATGCTATTTGGATTGAAAATCTTAATTCAGTTCTTGATGATAATAAAATGTTAACTCTTGCAAATGGAGATAGAATTCCAATGTCACCATTATGTAAAATAATATTTGAAACTCATAATGTTGATAATGCTTCACCTGCTACTGTATCTAGAAATGGTATGGTTTTTATGAGTTCTTCAGGACTTGATTGGAAACCATTACTTGAGGTAAACTAAATTACAGTTTTTAATAATCTAATTTGTAAAATAAATACTTTTTTGTATTAAATGATTTAAAGATTTGATATTTTANTTTAGAAAATGTTACCTAAATAACCAACTGCGTTTAAAAATCACTGTTATGACATCACCGGTTATCCTGCGGTTACTTTCCGAAGTAACCGTGTGTGCCGCCAAATTTTTAAACTATTAAAAGTGTACCGTGACGAAAAAAAGGTTTAGAATCACTGGCCTAGCCTAAGACTGAAGGGGAAAAACAAGTCTGGACTAAGACTGTGTAGTTAGTAGCAGTCAAGATGGATTGCTGTGTATCTCTAAACAGTGTTAAATAATAAAGAGACTTAATTTGTGTTCAAGGAGACATAGGTGTTCTTTTTGTTTTATCAACATTTGAGCATGTAAATTTTTTGTCGGTTGTTAATTAATAGACTTTTTTGCAAATATAAAAATTTATTTAAGGAAGGGAGTTTGTTAAATTTTACAAATTTCTTTTAGAAAAAAATTTTAAGTTTTAAGAAGTTTGCACTGAGGATATTTTTAATTTTTGATTTTACATATCTTTGTGAAAGAACTTTTTTCAAAAATAAAATGTTCAAAATTGAAATATTGAATATCACTGTATAACAAATATCTAAAGAAAATTTTAATATTGAGTGCCTCAAAATTATCTCTTAGTTTAATCAAACTTAGGGATAATTTTGAGGCACTCAATTACATTTTTTTTTTAAAAGCAGTTACAAATTTCACATTGATTTATGTCTGTCAAAAAGAAATCTTAAGTCTGGAGCAAGTATAAAAGATTCATTTTTTACAGCTCACAAGATTTCTCAGTAAAAAGTTGGAGACCCTTGCTTTATAACATTTACATCTTTATTGCTATTCTATAATACTGCCATTTGCTATATTGATAAATAAAATTTTTAATTTCTTTTCTGTTTTTATATTAACTTCTCTATGTTTGAATTAAAACATTGTCCATTGTTATGTTTCTTGTTTAGCAGTAGAAATAATAAATGAAGTTTTATAATATTTGCATTTATCATGAACTATAGAGAGTGCTGCATTTTTACAAAATGGCTAATTTATCTGCGTTACTTGTAACTAGTCAACATAAAATTACTCATATATTACTATTGTCCAATTTATTACTATTATAATATAATAATATATTACTATTGTCCTATTGTCCAATATAATAATATATGCTGCTTGTAGCAGTTTATTGAGAAATTTTGTAGAAGGAAAACAATTACTGCTGGTGGGACACATCATTTTATTTGGTATTATTGAAACAAATTCAGTAAGATCATTCTATAGATATTTGTACTGTGTTCAAACATCAGCTTTGACATTTGTTTTGCACAAAATTACTGACATTTTAAACTTTAAGGAAAAATCTTATAAAATTAACTTGTTCATAGTACTTGATTGCTTGTTGTTCTCTCTTTTGGTTGTATGTTCTTTGGAATAAAGCACAAAATTTCTATAGAGAACTTATCATACAGGAACACTTTTTTTAATAGAAAAAGTAGATTTTATTCTCTATACTAAAATCTACTTTTTCTATCAAAAAAAGTGTTTTTGTATGATAAGTTCTAGCAATTTAGTGCTTAATTCCAAAGAATGTAACTTGTTTATGCAAAGCTGGACAATTGGAAAACTTTTTGCTAATTCTTAACAGACGAATCCATTCTTTGTTGGTTACATTTATGAGCTTCTCTGAATTATAATTTTCAAATGATCATCTGTTTTTCATGTGAGAATAGATGAAAACTTATATTGGGCTTCCATAGAGCTTTCAAATTGCTGTTTGGAATGCAACAGAAGGCTTTGCTTTTCCTATTGCTGTTTATCTTGTGACTTTATTAAGCCATGTTACTTATATTTTATTTTAATTCCCTGTTGACATTTTCTTACAGAAAAATCATACTTCTGGCTTTTGTTTCCTTAACCACGATGTGGTTGGTTAACCAATGTGGTTTGATCTGTCTTAAACCAAAGGGGCTGACACTTCATTGGTCAGGGGTTGACTGGCGATTGACAGGAGGGAGATCCAAACAGGAAGAAAAGACACTTTTAGGGGACGAGAGGATCCAAGATTTTTTTTATTACTATTACCAGTCACCTCTTTGAACCTTTCATTCTGTATAATTCTGTTACTCATATTTTTCTCTAAATTTTGGGTCCTATATTTATATTATTTAATTAAGATAATCCTAAGCTAGAAGAAGTTTCTTTTGTTTGTTGGTATGTGAGAGCCATTTTGGTGTATCGTGATGACTGTTCCCAGTCAAATTTGTATATGCTAGTTTGTAAGTGTGAATAATTGTATATTTGGATTTTGGAATTTTTTGAATTTATTAAATTTTTATCAATGCCGAGCGATTTTTTTGGAGTCTGTTATTCATTACTCGGTGATAATCTTTTCTGTTGACAATACACAATAATGATTCAAATAAAATAGTTTTGTTTTTAAACACAGAGTGTGAGCATCTGGCAAAAAATGTGAATGGTGTCAATAGATATTTCAATTTTGTGGTTTTTTCACTTTAATTGATAAAAATGTAAAAATAATTATGATTATTTTTTGTAGAATCAATTGTCATCAGTTGATTATATTTAGAGTATTATTTTCATATTTGTTTTTAATAAAAATAGTATTTTGTTGTTTAAGAACACTAGTTTCATATTCAGTTATATGATTTACTTTACAGAAGTTTTAACATAGAAAATTAATACAAATAAAATATAAATATAGATTATTCATTCAGAAATTCAGAATGTATCTATCATACCTCCTGCAATTGCAACTGATGATAAAACATCATAAAGACAAATGTTGATTTTTATTTTAAAGACAATATGAATAAATTATCAAGAAAAAAATAAAAAACTATTTAGATATATTAAGAAATCTTATATTTAGCATTAGAGTATGAAAGATTATGAAAGAATATGTATTAATTAATGGAGAAGTATCATGATTAAAATTGTTTTATTTACATTTACCTGTAAATCATCAGGTAAATGTAAATAAAACAATTTTAATCTGTGTGACTGATTTTCAGTAATCTTATATACCAGTTTAATAAGTCCTATTAATAGAAATACACACTGTACTGATGATTGAAAAAATACTTTTTTTGGAGTGTTGGATTAAATAGTAATGTAGAAGTAAATTTATTCTGTATAAAAAGAACTCAAAATTTATAATACTACCACTCAAAAACTGGGTATGCTTGAACTAAAGCTACTAAAAAATCTAATATCTAGCAGAGAAGTTCAATAATTTGCCTGATGATTCTTGTTCAACATGAGTAAAAACATTAGCATTTCCAAACTTCTCTGCTGGATATTAGGTTTTTTAACTCAAAATTTATTTGAAAAATATGTTGTCAATAAAATTAATCCATGATATCACTTCTATAAATATTATTTTTCTAAATTTCTTTAAATACAGTATGATTTACTTGGTGCCAAACACTTACTTTGTTCAATATCTTATAATTGCACAGTCAAATCTAAATAATATGTAATAAAAACTGTTAAAATATAACTTGGTTGATTGCTTTAACAAGAAATAATGAACCGTTCTTTTCGTGTTTTATGCTCATCTCTTAATTTTGTATTGAGATATTCTTTATAGTAAGTGTTTAGTCCTGAGTGAATCACCCTGCAGATAATTACTATTTATTGTCATTTCTTTATAACTTATAGTTCAAAATCATTTGTTAATGAAATTTCATTTCATATATTTTAGAGATGGTTAAAGACACGAACCAAACAAGAGCAAGAAGTATTAAATCGTTTATTTCATAAAATATTTGATGAAGCTTGGGATTATGTTCTAACTGGACTTAATCCAAAAATGACTTTCTTACAAGTTAATTACATAAAACAGGTAATAAAAATATTTTTCATAATTAATAATTACAAGTTAAAAATTAATTTTAGAATTTTTTATAATAAATATTAATATGATGTTTTAATTTCTTGACTTACTACATCCTACATTAATGTAGAAGTTTAAAATTCTTCCTCATATAATTAGTTTATATAAATTAATTTTCATATGAAGATGAGATCAAAATAATGAGCTATAGCATGTTTGTGTTTGTATAAAATATAAGGGCGAATTAATTTTAATCTGAGTTTAATTAAACCATATTTTATGCTAATAGTTGAAAAATTGTTATGAAAAATATCAGAGCCGTAACTAGCTATTCCTGTGCCCTGTGCAAGAATTTGCATTTAGGCCCCTTAATTTATTTGGTTTTGGGAAAATAGTAAAACAAATACATTACAATAGATTTTTAATAAGATTTATTTTAATTGAATTTTTCTGGCTTTCATTTCAGCAAATTCATTAATTACACCTTCATAATTAATATTTTTAACGATATTGTATTCTATTGAAATAATAGAAATATTGGATAATCGTTCTTGTCCGATAGTTGATCTTAAATAATTTTTTATTAAGTTTAACTTGCTAAAACTTCTCTCGCACGAAGCAATAGAAACGGAAAGAGTTAGAAATATTCGAAGAGCGACGTTGATATTTGGGTAAGATTCAATTAAACCAAAATCATGAAGAGCCTGTAGAATATTAAGCGGAGATGCAGTTTCTATATTTTGTATAAGAGTCGTTACTTCAAAATTAAAACTTTCAATTTCACTTGTGAATT